ACGGTCCACAGCCAGCTCACCAGGCTGCAGCTATGGAGCCACTCTGCATCCACTGCCGTTTCTGCTGCACACACCTATTTATTGAAGACTACCACACCAAACAACTGAGCGCCAAAAACGTCCATAAACTGCATGGGGCCCGCTTGCTCATAAAAACAATGGTGCTGATGCATGACCCAAAAGGTGTATAGGGTCAGATGTACATGTATGGGGGTATTTAAATTTGAAGATTGACGCCTGCAGGATTTAAAAAAGATACTTGATAACTTCATTAGTATTTTTCAGAGGAGCTGAGGATCTTGCCTAGCAGCAAAAATTATTTTGCTGCAAGCTGCCAAATTTGGCCTAGAGAAGTTTAGCAGCAGCAGACAGAAAATTAGACCAGAACACACCACTTAATGAGCAGCATGTATTATTTGCACGATGGCGGAGATGCACTTCTCCCATGTGGGCAACAACAAACCCATCACTGTTTTCTATCTGAAGGCTACAACCCCTGCACTAATGACAAAACTAGTGACATGGAGAAAAGCTGCACCTTGCCAACCTCATGGTGGAGGTGAACATGGCCCCCTGCCTGATTTATACGCTGGGAGAAAATCACTGCCTGCTGCTACACCACCCTCCCTCCACCACTCAGTCTCGCTGGAGCAAACCTGTGCTGCCCTGCTGCATTTCCAGCACCATACAGAGTGCAATGAAAAACCCCTCCTGTATCTCTCTGCGTGCTGGGCATGCCTACGCAATTAATACGAAAGCCTTCAGCGTGGCAGCGGGTAGAGGGAGACACGCGCTTTCAGTCCCATGTACCTTTACCCCTCAGCTCACCACGAAGCCGCCTGGAAAAGGAACACAAAACACCCGAGCGCCAGATAAAGCAGGAATCTGGGCTGCCAGGGCTGCTCTGCAGTATGTTCCCTGCTGAGTCTGCATGCGCCTTCGGCAGGACGCTTCTGGTCTTAGTGTTTCGCCTTCCATAAGGTATACAAACCGCCCCAAACAATATTCAGCAACCTTGCAAAATTTCTCTCTTGCACATGCACATGTGCACAACCACACATGCCCTACTTGACTCCAGCAATTCCTGCATAGATTTACAATTTCCTAAGCAGGTTGCTATAGTGACCCTGCAGAATATTTTTTCAAAACACGGTTGTACTGTAAATGTTTACATACAGCATAATCCTGCCAAATTGTCTTAAGACAAAGGAAAACACAAAGTGTCTTTGCTTTATGTCCACCCTTCCAGCTTTTTCAGGATTGCGAATGTACTTTCAACCAACAACAGAGGCTAATCATGCCTTTCTGTGGGCTTGCACAGCCTTAGGCCTAATAATGGGTCATCTATTAGCTTTAATGAATAACAAAGCTATCGGATTTACTAGTGTTAGCTGATTTCACGCATTTCTGAGTAAATTCTGAGTTAACTGAAAGGCTGGGGCTTAGCTTAAGGGCCAGACAGCCAGTTGGTACAAATCAGTGTCAGTTGATTGAAGTAATAAAATTTTTGATAGTGGGGCAGGACTTTACAGATGAACATCAGTAATTTTTTTTATATTTTTCTCAATCTTGATAACTAAAGGAACAATTTAATCATTTTAGATAACAGATGTGAAAAGAAAAACATGATTCCTGGTTTAATTCACATTCTTCTGGATTGCGGCAAGGGAGATCAACAGTCAACGAAATATAAAGGTATTTGTTCATGGTGTTGTTTTAAACACTGTAATGTTCCTATATCAACATTAACAGTAGTGTGATTTATGATTACAGAACACATACATAGCTATCGAATGTCTCCCGCGCCTCTACTCTGTTTCTAAGATACTAAAGCAAAGTCCAGGGCATAATATAATTTACAGCACTATAAAACGTTTTACAACTGAAGCACAGTGAAAGCTTAATATCCAAGACCTTCTGTAATATGACTATGTCATCTTGTTAAACTTTATTTATGGGAGCACTAGGATTGACAAGAACTTTCTTCATGTCACTTTCCTACTGATTATCAGTATCACCTTTCGCACTTCATGTTGTTCATAGGAGGAGGTCTTCCTTTCAAAAACATAAGTTCACATAGATAACAGCCTGTTTCCTAAAAGTTTATATTTTAATTATGTCTTTAGATCACTTGCCCAAGATCATGATCTCTTCCTTCCTAGTAAGAATTTATAACACTCTATTCAAGACAATGGATAATTCAAAACATTCAAAACTTTTAAGGCAAATCCTAAAGCATCATCACCTGAAAGTGCTACTTTTTTATTAAAAAAAACAAAAACAAAGAACAAAAAAAACAAAAAACTGCACTTCTTGGATCTGAATTCTTCTCTAGTTTTGCTTTTAGTATTTGAAAATAGATCATACACCAGAGAGGTCTTACTTTGTCACAGTCTTTCAGATGTCAGTGGAGACTCGTGGCAATTGCTGCTTTTTCTTTTAAGATTTCAGACCAAAATAGAGTTTGCCTCACACTGAATAGTTAATTCTTATCTTTTCTGCCATTTGAGAGAGTGAAAATCTCGGGAATCACTCATCTTGTGAGATTTCCATCATCTGAACCAAAATCTATGTGAACTTGTGCCTGTGAGATCTTGGCATCCTCGTATGTGAATGCAAAGCCCTGATTAACTGTGATCTGGCTTCAGAATCAAACCATAATCTCTAGTTTTAACTTAATCTAGCACTGCATTGGAAAACAGTCTCATTGAGCTTTCATTACGTTGCAGAACAAGACAAAAAAAGATTTAAAAAACCCATAGCCATAAAAATATTTTTCCTTTGCTTTCTGAGTAATACGGTGACCTCCTAAAGCCTACAGAGGACCAAAATACTATTGCAGTTTGGGAAAGTATCACAGTTCTCTCTCCCCCCTCGCCCCCCACTACCCACCAATTATACAAAATATGGAATGTCTTCTTCTGTTCAGCCCTGGTTTTGCTAGACCAGGAAGCCAACTCAACTGGGAATGTCTCACCAGCGAGGAGAGGTTGGTAACACGGACACCACCAATCCTCTTTCAGCACCACTATCACCCTCTCCTGCAGCATCACTGTACCGCAGAAGAATTTCTCATTTCTTGAATAATCTTTGGACTGGGAACATTAACAGTGAATTCTAGTTTGACTTTGTAAGTGAAATATTAGTTGAGGGGGGAATGTGTGTGGAATAAAAGTGATATGAATGAGTAGGTAGGGCTACTTTCACCCTTATGGTATGACTTTGTCATATTTTTCTGGCAAGGAAAAGGAGCCTTAAAATAGAAATAAATTACAACGCCTTTTCTGTTTGGGTAAAGCGGCCTTAGAGCAAACGAGAAACAGGCCTGCACATCTTAAAGATATGGCAGCTAAGTCTGAAAATATATCTCCTGTAAGCATAATTTCTACTAGCATGTCTGATTTCTCAGGCTTGCTGTAGGTTGAGATCTTTTTCATATCAATGTATTTACACTCATGATCTTCAATTTAGCACCCTCCTAGACTGGCCAAACATGTTACTCAAAGTTTCTACGTATTTTCAACATCTTTGCTGATGCTGACAAGTACATAATTGCCCAAGCAGCGTCCTCAAAGTGAAAAGGTCTACTTGCCCAGGAAAGCATTACTAACCTTGAACAAGGGTAGCAGATTCTATGTTATATTATCCAGAACTCTATGGAATTAAACTAACATAAAAATGTGTATTTATTATAGTAGCCAAATGTACAGGGAGCTCTGCTCCATATTACTAGAAACTTGTACTGCTATTTACTTACATTTACTGCTGCTGTCCTAAACTTTTCTCCCTTCATCCTGATATGGCAGTTAAATCTGGAATCAACCAGCATCACAGAAAAACTTCAGCCCTCCTGGCACTTCTTCAACAAAGGACGTGTTTGTACTATTGATTGTACTGCTGAAAATAATTCTGCTGTGTTGACAGGCATCACTCAGCACAGATTGTGATGAAAAGCTGAAAATTAGAAAGTTAAATGAACACCTGCAACAATTTTCCTGCCAATTTTACAACAAAATAAATATTGAATTATTTCTGATAAGTGGGTCAAATTCATCCCCGGCGTCACGGCCCTTTGAGGTGAACAGTGCTACGACAGGAATGAATTTGGCTCCTTTGTCTTTCACCGAGAAAATGCTTCACTGAACTTTGCAAATGCTCTGTGCCAACATTCATCTTCATTTAGAACCCATCTCTCCTTCTGTACTGTGCTTTTGCAGCAAAACTGTAATTTTCCTATCAACTTGCAGTCAATTATGTCAACAGTCTGACATGAATATTGTACATACACAAAAAATAATTTGTGCAACAGCTTTTTCAATTGTTCAGCTTCACAGACATTTCCATTCCATATAATCACATTTGAAATGTATGACTCCACAAGGTATCCTTCTGGGTGGAATATGCATCCCTTTATACCAGAGTTGCTTGAATAGCATTTTACATACCTGCGGTGCCAGAGATATTTTATGAAAAAGAAAAGATGCGATTGTGCAGCTTCATTTTCAACCTGTGCCTTTTTGCTATCCTATTGTTAGCAGAAGCTGGGAGATACCGTATCCTTACGGCAAAGCAAGAAATTTTACTCTTC